GTATCCTGAATTTTTCAAAACACTCCCTCCTGTTTAAAGATTGCTTTTAAAGCGACCGCCATCTTTTAAACTTAATGGACATTTAGGGAGCGCTTGGTTGAGGCTATGGCGATTTATATGAGCTGCTTTAAAAAGCATTTTTGCACATAAGGAATAAAAGTGCCCATGTGTGCACCCAGCATACATGAACCGCACCTGTGGCTCTAAGGTGCACACGACCTCACCTCTTGCCCTCCCGTGCCCACACACACCGAGTAGGAGGGTTCTTCACAAAATACACCTCCCCATTTATTCGCTCAGACACCTACTCTGCACAAGATACTTTACTACAATGGCATAAAGAGACATAAAGATATTTTAGTTCCTACTCTTAAGCGCTTTTACTCTTTTACAGAATATTACCATGGCCCACAGTCAGAAATACACATCACACTGACCATAACTCGAGTGTTTGCATAGACCCAGATGTTTCTAACAAAGGTTTCACAAAATAATAACCCTTACTACAATACATGGTCTTTCATTCTAGAAGCACCGCATTGACTTCATAGCCTACCCGTGTTTCTGTAAACACGGCTCTGGTAGGAACAGCCGCAGTGACAAAGGAGTTAAAAGTCAGCTCCCTTGCTCTGGGCCACGTCACCAAGGCCCTGTGCTGGCTTCTCTTCACAAGTAACATGATGCAGCGAGGAGAAGGAGGTCTTCCTTCCCAGGCCAGGACAGCAGACGAAAGGGAACGTTCTTGCTCTTCTTCTTCTTCCACAGGCAGACTCCTGCCTTGAGTCTCCCTGAATGGCCCTTAACACAAGGACACAAGTCTGTTTTCAATGTATCCTGACTCGGGCTCCCATGGTTCCTCTCCAATACTTTGCCTAACGAGAACAAAACACAAAAGGATAGCACCCCCCCTTTGTCTCCTCTTGCCCTGTACTGACTTTTCAAATCTTCACTGCCCTATTCCCGTTTCTAATGTGGTGTCTAAAATAGTCACAACCTTGGGGCGCCTGGGTGGCGCAGTCGGTTAAGCGTCCGACTTCAGCCAGGTCACGATCTCGCGGTCCGTGAGTTCGAGCCCCGCGTCGGGCTCTGGGCTGATGGCTCAGAGCCTGGAGCCTGTTTTGGATTCTGTGTCTCCCTCTCTCTCTGCCCCTCCCCCGTTCATGCTCTGTCTCTCTCTGTCCCAAAAATAAATAAACATTGAAAAAAAAATTTATAAAATAGTCACAACCTCTATTGTTGGAACGCACTGGAATGCCCCCGGAAGCGAACCCCATCGGAGAGTTGCCTTATTTTCAAAGATACAAACAGAACCGTCATAAAGCCCACTGTCAATCCATCCAAGATTCTTCTTGAGACCCTATTTTGTTCTAGGAAACGTGCTACAAGAGTGTGAGAATACAGAAAGAAATTTAGGACGTGGTCCTTGTCCTCACGAGCATTTGGTTAGGGAGATTTCAAGATTATGATATATCATACATTAGGCGATAAGCCAAGTGGTTTCTCTGGAATGCATCCCCGAGGGAAGTCATGGGTACAGAAGCATCACGACAGGAGCACTTTATGAACACAGCCTTACGGATGGTTTTACTTTTAACATAGAAAGTTCTAAGGCCTCTTTCAGCAATAGAAGGCTGGGGCTCACGAGAACTCGGGAACTGTGACCTTGCCCTCCTAATAATCATTGATGGCACCCTCGGTCTCCCCCACAGCAAGACCCTCCCTTTTGAGGCTCCCCTATCCTGCTGAGACTTGCACTGTGACCACTACTGCCTCTCATCACTCCACCCCCTCGCTTTCCTTCAGTGCCAGACTTGGGACTCGTCAGATCTGAGGTCCCATAAACTTCCCAGGCACTGCTTAATTTTCCTAGAATGGAGGTTCTGTTCTCTTTGGATGATGGTCCTCTTGAGACGTTAATAAAAGCTCTGGCGCTCCTCTTAAGGGCAAGAAATACACATATTGTACACATTTTTTCCAGATTCCCCAAAGCCCAATTCCACAGCCCCAGCCAGGAGCCCCGAGCTACATCTGCTGTCTGTGCCCTGCTGAATGGAACACTCACCACCTGCCGCCTCTGACACTTCTCTTTCCGTGGACTTGCTCCGCCACCGTCATCCCCACTGACCTCCATCCTTGACGGCTCTCCTTGGATGGTCATGCCCTCCGTGAGGGCTTCCTCAGCGCCCCCCCCCCCCATCCATTACTGACACCTCATCCGGTATTTCCGCCCCCGGGAATGGTTGTTGCACATCCACTGCTGTAATGTAATCTGCAGGGACCTCTCACTCAGAAAAGACGGGGTCTCTCTCCCAAAGTTTCATTTCGTGTGATGGCACCACTACTTTCCCCTTCATTCAGGTGAACTCTATGGACCATGTAGCTCACATACCGCCATCCCAAGTCCTAAACCGTGTGGTGCTGCGTCTACAAGTGGAATCACATTTGGCTCATTTCACTTCTTCATCTTCAATATCTGATCTATTTCACTGTGTTGTGTTACGGCTTTCGACTTTAAAACGTCTGCCGACTCTGGGTGGTTTTTGCCATGGCAGCTCCCGGTGCAGGCCCAGATGATTCTACACCAGGAGCGTGGCGGTGCCTCCTGGTTGGTCCCTCTCCTCCGCCCCTTCGCACGCTTCCTCCTTCCGCAGGTGGGTGTGATTCTCATGCCCCCGAAGCACATGTCCACAGGTGATTTTCTGCATGAGAACCTCAGGTGGCTCGTACTGCCAGTGCCCGGCCTCACACCTGGCGCACCTTCCCCATCCCAGGGCTCTTCTATCTGTGCCCCAGGTCCACAGGGTGCTTGGTGGGTAAGACGTCAGCTTAGGACCTGGCTCTGCCTGTGGGGCCCTGAGAAGTGACTCAGTCTCTAGGTGCCTCAATTTCCCTGTCTGTAAAATGGGCAAAATAAGAGTCCTTGTCTCACTATCAGTACCTTAATAGTGTTAATGTCATCATCGATGTTAGTAAAGGATGCGCTCGCTGTACATATGCTATCAGTGCACACGTCATACTTTCATGCAACCTTTTGTCTTTCCTTATGACTGGAATGGTCTCCCTTCTTTTCTCCCATTGGATATGTTCCACTTCTGTTTCAAAATCCAGCCTATGATGCCTTTGTCATTCAACATTCATTCAACAAACATTACTGGCTTATCTACTAACTGCCAGGTATAGTGAGACGTTCTCAGGATACATATCAAGTGAGTGGAATAAGGTCTCTACTCATCTGGTCAAGGGTCGGACAAGTGAGCATAGGTCAGTGACAGAAGATTCTCTGAGGAAAAGGGGGGTGCGGAGAGGCTCCTGCAGGAGGTGAGCACTGCGCCGCTGGCTGGCAGAGTAGGAGGGGCTACCTGGGGCAGGGGTATAAAGTGTGCCAGTGTGAGGACACCACGTGGGGGCTGCAGCCCAGCGCGGGAGAAGCACGAGGGGCGCGTGGGCAGGGAGGACGGCCCACGCAGGTTCTAAGGCCCGCGCAGCTGAGGACTCCGTTTGGGGAGCCGGGATCATGTCAAGGTAGGCACAGACACACCCAGAGCTCACACCCAAGGTGTCTCTTCCGTGTTCACCCACTGGCGGGTCTCGGCTGCTCTGTGAACGTGAGGCCGGGGGCTGGAGGTGGGTGGCTGCCCTCCCCGGGACATCGGCCTCGGCACAACGGCGATGAGGCGAGGGAAGAGAAGCCACTGTCACTCTAACTTAAAACGTGGTACAACCTAGTGAATGGCTTGAAAGTCAGGAACCAGGGATTGCCGCCAAGCTGTCAGGGGAGCTCCCCATCGTGTGCAGGGCTGTTACAAGGCCAAAGCCGCACACGACTGGATCACAGACACGATAGGTTTTGACTTAGTTGGCTTGGTCGTGAAGCTGCTGCACGCTTTGTAAACCAGTAAAAGTTCATCAACAAGGGGCAGGGGGCCCGACCCCGCATACTCTTTAAGGAACGGGATCACGTTTAGTTGCCACAGGCTGGCATATTTGGTCAACTCTCCGTTACCAGTGCCACGGGGGCACTGGAGGGATCGGAAGGAGAGGTGGGGCGGTGGGGTGTGCCGGGGAAAGCCCCCGCTGCTCCAGGTGGGTTTTGTGAGGTGCCCGTGAGGAGGCGGAGGGAGCAGTGTCGCCCCAAACCTCCAGCCTCCGCACGGCCTTTGCCACCTGTGCCTCGTCCGAGGCTGCGAAGGAAGGCCGAAGCCAAGGTTAAGTCGAGCTGATTGCAGAAAGTGCTCAGTGAACATTCTGTGACTAACTTCACTCCAGCTCTACCGTTATCTTGTCCTCAGAGCGACCCACGGTTTTCCTTCATTTAAAAAAAATTAATTAAGGCCTGACTAGTGGAAATAATACCTTTATTAAGAGAAATGTCAGAGAGTGTATTCCTTAAAAGAAAACTGCTTTACATATGAAGCATTTCTGCAGCATTACAGCAAGCAATGAGACTTACCTGATCCTTATTAAAAAGCAACATTGTAAGGAACATTTATGTTAAAGTTGGATCAATTTTCCCATGTGTACCGCATCTTATGCAATGTTGTGATCTAATTCACTTTAAAAACCAACCTAAGGCTAACCGATCATCTGTGGCTTCAAGTAGACAAATGGGCAGCACAGAACTGCTCAGTAATGAGAACAAGTGAATCCTCTGGGGCCCTCCAGGTGCCCCTCAGCACAGAACAGAACATCCCGGGGGCGGGGGCTCCCCAGACAGGATGCCAGGGTGCAAAGCCTAAGATGCTTATACACATGTGCTTCCCCAATGTAAATCTGTGATGGGGGACTGGAGGCTTGGGCCGATGGTGGTGGAGAACAGAGGTCATTCTGGGATACCTCGGGGGAGAGGCCCAAACCAACTGGGCTTTCCTCACTCTCTCCAAGTCATGCCCGCCTTCTCCCTTAAGTGTGGATCTTAGATTTGCTGCAGTGGATTCAGCGCCTAGGAGAAACCCTCAGCAGCCAGGCACGCTCCCTCCAGGCCCCAGAGCAGCCCCGCTCACCTCGTCCACTGTCCACCGGGCCACCTCGCCTGCCTGGATGTTGGCCACGCCTGGAAGCAACTTGCAGTGCTGCTCCCTGCCGAGTGGAAGGTCCCGGAAGGGGTGGGCCGACATGGAGGACATGAAGACGGACTGGTGCAGCGCCTGCTGTGTCTGCTCAGCGGAATATTCTGAAAGAGAGGCGGGGAGTGAGCCACACACAGAGCGCCGCCTGGGTCAGCCCCTCCGCCTGGGGGGGCCCAGAGCCAGGATAGGACAAGCGCAGGCTCAGTGGGGACCCTGGTGTTCCAGTCGCTTGGCATCATCGCCGGGAGGAGTCCCCAAGCTCGGCCCATGCCGCCGTTCTGTTTCAACACAACTGTCGTGAGAAATGGACCTTATATAAGGCCCAGGTGACTCTGGCTATTTGCTAAGCAAGGTCAAATAATCTCTACGAGACACTGCTTGATGCCAACCAAGAGTTAGCCTGTCACTGCCGCTGGCCTCTCTCTCCCTATATCAGGACTTAACAGAGGAAGCGAGCCTCACGGAGTGTGGCTATTAACTGAATCTGCACACCGACCCCTCTGGGATGTGTGTGCACACAAACAGCGACTTCTTCCTGGCGGCCGCCTCCCATGGCTCCAAAGACACAACGAGCCCAGGTCCACATCTGGCTTCATAGGTCCCCTGGGGGACACTGAACATGGAATGCGGCTCAGGGTCCCCGTGAGAATCTGGGTGGCAGCTGCCGAGATAGCTCCCTGCAGGACACGACGACCTCTCGGGACTTGCGGAAAGCGGCCGCACTGCGATGTGTATACCCCGACCCAGGTGCTCTTAAATGGGTGCTCTCTCTTCAGAGAAAAAGCTCTGAATGAGCCGTGTTCCGGGACACGAAGGGTGGCGCTGCTTGCTTGCTCAAGACTATCAGTAACGGGTAAGACCTCACTTCTGCCTCTTACTTCTCCCCAGGCTTGAGGAACTGGTGTTCCACCTTCAGGAGTGACTTTACTCTTATGTTATATCCCAACATGTAGATGGAGGCAGAGATCTCAATCCTCTAATTATTTGCTTTGAATTTATAAATGGATGCGGAGCAAAATCATCCCAGAGATTTCGGAGAACACGCGTGCCTTTACGAGGTCGTTTGAAAAGGCACTTTTGACACGCATTAGCAAAATAAACCCGTTGATATTCTTAAGATACTTTGAAAAGGAAGACCACACACACAAAATGCTGTAAGCCTTCTAAAAGTGTACCTTTCCCGATGCAAATGACAAGTTAAGTAAGCAGGAGCTGTAAAGTCTATTATGATGGTTTGTCTTTTACTAACAGAGTCTGAAAAGCTATTATGCAAATATTTCTACCTCAAATTAACTACAGTTTTTAGTAGGTGAGGCTGACCTGTACCGTGCATGGTCACACAGTCATACCCGTTAGTAGTCAAGAGGTTCCAGGCTAGAAGGAGCCCATCCGTCACCACCCTGACTGCTTGGCACAGACATCCTACACAATTACCAATGCTTGCTGTCTACACAGATAAAGAGGCGGCGAAACTGCGGCCTTCTCCCAAATTCTTATGCTCCAGTTGCAAGCGGCAGCAAGTTCATCTCTAAATGCTGATTGTCCAACACTGACCTTTTTAGTATGTAAATAGGTTATCTCCCTCCGTGTAGTTCAGCCAACAGTAAGTATGGCTGCCGGCTCGGAAGGGAAGCTTCACACCTTCTTTGAAAAGCCAGTATGCTTACAAACGTGAATGTTCTTTAATGAAGGTGTCAGGTTGGACAAGGAGCATGGGCCAAACCAGCCCTGAAAACCCACGGCAGAAACATCCCAGAACAAGCCTGCAGTCAAAGCCACACAGTCACTGAGGGCTTTCCTGGGAGCCAAAGAGTTAAAGCTATGTGTTCAGAGGGATTAAGACCTGAGCCAAAGCTGGGCTTTATTCTGGAAAAGAATCACTGCATCAATCAATTGGTTGTTTTCGCTGAAATAGCGTGGACTTAAAAAAAATAAAAAAATCACATCTGTATCTCAAAACCCATGCCCTGAGTAAATCAATCATGTATAGTTTCCAAAATGTATAGGACTCTGAGAAGACACAATTAACGAGCCTTATATTTCAGAGGTGCAAAGATGTTGAGTGATGGTGATTAGATTCCTGTGATTCACAAATAAAAGCTGAAGGCATTAAAAATGTAAAAGAACTACTGTGCTCCCAAGCAAGAAAATTTTCCACACTGTAATTTTGGAAGCAAATTGCCTTGGGAGCCAAGGGGTCCCCTTGGAAATACATCTAATGTGTGGTTGCCAGCACTGACCAGCCCTGGGGCTCCTTGGTATGCTGCTTCTCATGGCTCTGGGCCCTGGGAGACAGGAGCCGTCGGTCAGTTCAAGAAATAAGATGGTCCACAGGTTACAACGAAAGATAGAGAGCTCCAGCTGTATCTTACGCACTTGAACTCAGGAGGCTTTATGCTGTCTATGGCTTTTGAATTCAGTTAACTGTGTCCCTATTAGATCAAACTATTTGATTGAAGGGAGGCGAAAGCCAAATTTCTCGAAGGATGAACAGAACTCAGTGGAGAATAGGTTCTGTGGCACAAAGTGAGTCGTGCCATGGCAGTGGGGACAGGTCTGCAACCATCTTGCTGGGGTGCCCACTCCCCCAACCGCCTTGGAGTTTCCATGGGTATAAAGGGCTCCTGTCTGCGTACCTACAACCTCACGTTTTGGGGAATGCTTGCCAGAACCAGTTACACGCTAAGCACAAATAATATTCTCCTCTTACCAACTTTACAAAATGAAATGGGAAGACTGACAGTTGAGCCTTCCTGCTCAAAAAGACAAGAGTTAGGTTAGGGAGGGAGTCTGTGAGCAGGGAGTTTGGAAGAACCAGTCTGCCAACTCCAAGATACAACTGGAATTGGGAGCTCGTACCACCCAGAGCTGACGGGAGGGGAAAGGGAAATGTGCATAAGGCCATAGTGTGGTCCCCAGCATGCTGTAACTAGTCGTTAAGTGGTTAAGTGCTACTTTAAACTTGACTGTAAGCTCCTTGAGGTCGGGATTGAAGCTCTATGAAGGGATGATGCATTATCTCAAGTTAACACAATCCAAGACTAATTTTCCAGTAGTAACAGAAGACAGAGAATACATTTTGGAGAGTGTTTTATGGTGGTTGTTTTGCCTTCTTTTACCATTTTCCAGGTCCAATTTCTTCAAAGCTGATGATTTTGGGGTGAGATCTTCATGTCTAGCTGAGAGAACGCTGGGATGGGCTTGCCTCAGAGGACTGCGGCACCGTGGGGGGTGGGGGAAGGGAAGGGCCCACATCAGCTTGCTTAGTGGTGAAACCTGGTCCCCACACAGTTGCTGGGCGACCTTGGATGAGATACTCAGCTCCTATGTAACAAGGTTTTTTAATTGGGGTAATGATAACACTGACATCCCACTGAGTTGTTGGAATTAGAACAGCTTCTGGAGTATAATGAATATTCAAATCATGTCAGATATTACATTACTGTTACAAGTGTGATAAAAGAGACGAGCTCAAAATGGAGTCGCTTGCGGTCAGGCCCACATCAGCAAACCAAGAGTTCATACCGAACCTAATTTCCTAGTTTCTTAGTTTCCACCTCTCCAAGGAATATAATCTCAACCAGTCAGTCTGGAATCTCCTGGTGAGGTAATCTGCCTGACACATCCCTGCCATCCCCCAGACAAAGGTGACTTTACCTGAAACAGTCTGCCTTTGCTTGTCCCTGCCCACTTCTGCCTATAAAAATCTCCCACTTTGTACAGCTCTTTGGAGCTCCCTTCTATCTGCTGGATGGGAAGCTGCCCAGTTCACAAATCGCTGAATAAAGCCAATAAGATCTTTAAAACTTAAAGTGGAATTTTGGATTTTCTGTTGTTTATTTATTTATTTAAAAAATTTTTTAATTTTTATTTTATTTATTATTTTTTTAATTTCTTTTCAACGTTTTTTATTTATTTTTGGGACAGAGAGAGACAGAGCATGAACGGGGGAGGGGCAGAGAGAGAGGGAGACACAGAATCGGAAACAGGCTCCA